CCCCGGCGCGGGAGCCCTACCCGGGGTCGGCGGAGGACGAGCGCGAGGACGAGCGCGAGGGACGCAAGGCCGCGGGCCACCGGGGCTCCTAATCGGGAGCGTCCCTGACGCTCCCCCTCTGGGGACTTATAAAGGCTACTTTGTTACAAATGCGGCTCCTTAGCGGGTCAGGCCGAGCCCCGCCGCCCCCCGCCCCCGCCACGCGCCCTGGGGGGTCCCCGGGCCGACGCCCCTCCGCTGCTGGGTCTCCGAGGCGGGTCCTGAGGGGCCTGCGCCGCAGAACCGGGAGGCGACCTCCTGAGCAGCCGCCGCCGGCCTGCCAGCCCCCTCACCCCAACTGCTTGGTCTCCGACCTCCCGGCTCCCAGGAACTCGGGTTGGGGTGGGGGGAATTTTGGCAGCCAGCGCCTACGCCGCAGAGAGATTCACAGCCCAAGACGCAGACCTGGAGACCGCGGCTCTTGGGTGCACCAAACCCCCCCAACCAATGAGACCAGAGCCCGCCCATAGCCAACCCCCCCCGCCCCGTCCAGGTCCACTCCCAGCTCCCGCACCCGCCGCCTACACTCGCGTCACCGGCGCCCAGCCCCACCTCTCCAACTTCCCCCTCCTCCTGACCCGCTTACTGCCCTGCCTTTCGAGGCGGGGCTGTCGCCGGCCCTGCCCCCACCAAGTACAACTTCAGACCCAAGACTCCAATCCCAGCACAATCTGGGCACGGGGAGCGACTCTAGCGGAGACCTTCTGAAGGAGCAAGAGGGAGGGGAGGCGGGATGCCCGAAACTTTCTGCATTCAGGGTTGGTGGGACCGGAGGGGTGGGCGGGGACTACGTTCCCGCGGGGCACCACGGCCAGGCACCGCTAGAGGGCGCCCTCGACCGCCGTGTGTCCCGAAGGCAAAGGGCAAGGATGGATGGAGTGCATTGGAGGCAGAAGGGAGAAGGCGGTGCACGGGGCTTGGGTGACTGTACTAATGTCGCTATCGGACAGAGGGGGAAACTGGGGCTCAGAGAGGAAAGAGGGTTGCCCAGGTAACAGCGCCGGCGAGGGAGGGGCCCATTCCAGACCTGGACCCAGTGTCTGAGGCTGACCTAGACGGGCCCACCCTGTTCTGCCCAACCTGTCCTACCCCACCCCACCCCGTACATCGCATCCCCCATCCCACCTCACCTTGCCCTACCCCACCTGCTACAGTGACAAGCTGTGGCCTAGAGTGTGGGGTCCCAGTTGAGCGGCAAGAGCACACATTTGTCACTGTGTGACCAGGGTCCTGGAGCCCCAAGTCCCCCCTCTGCAGCCCAGCTGGCTCTGGCATGGGCATAGATGGCTGTCTGGACTCTCAGATGCCTGAGGACAGTTCAGGGTGAATTGGGGCTGAGGGCAGGAGAGAGGGTTCAAGGCAGCCTCACATTGGGCAGGCCCGGAGAGGGCCTACTGGGCACCCCACCAAGGCGTCTTCAGAAATCCGTGGCTCATGTCACCTCCTAACACCCACCACTGCTCTCCCATGCCCTGACACCCCCTTGGGCCTTCTGTACCCTGATGCCTCCCATCCCTTTCCCTGCCCAAAGGCCCTGGCCTGGCTGACACTGATGTGGTTCCCTTCATATATGTGTTAAGGTCATGGTCAGGCATGTCCCCACGGTGGTCGTCAGCACTGTCCAGCTCTCCCTACTGGCCACGGGGCTTGTGCCCCTCCCCGCTAGGTTTGGTGGGGCCATGTCACTCTGCTAGAGAAGCTGCAGTTGCATTTCCCTGCTGCCAAGGACAACAGCTGTGTCCCACCTGATACGACTCATGTGGGACCTGGCCCTGGGGCAGGAGATAGTACATCTTCAGTATGGCCTGCCCTATCCTGACCCCTAGCCCAGCTCCCAAGGTCTGCGCTGTACCTACTGTTCTCACATCCTTGGTGCCCCCTACTTCAGAGCCTAAGCAGATGTCAATAAAGGAGGCTTCCCTGAGTGCTGCTCCTTCACCCTGGGGGCATTACACACCCCACTCCTATCTGGGTCCATGTCCCACCTGCCTCTGCGGGCAGGCTCCAAGGTGCCCCATGCCCACAAGGCGACTGCCTGGGAGAGGCGGACAGAAGACGGTGTCCAGACGCAGTGAGGTATGGGCCCCCTGCACACCTAGCAGGTATGGGAGCTCCACGGTATTTCAGGACGCAACAGGTGGGCAGCACAACAGAGGCTATCCAAACCCTGCGCCCCATGTGGGCTTCAGGAAGCTGAGAGAGAGCTGCTTCCTGAGTGACTCAGGCCCAGAGGGGCGGCCCTTCCTCTTCCTCCCTCTCCCTCCCTCTCTCTCCCTCCTTTTTCTGCTTCCTCCTTCCTCCTTTCTTCCCTCGCATTTCCTCCTCTCTCCTTCCTCTTTTCTCTCTCACTCCCTCCCTCCTCTCCTGCCTCCAGGTCCCCCTCCTCCCTTCCTCCTTCCCCCTCTTTTTCACTCCCTCTCCTCCCTCCTTCCCCCTCTCTGCAGGGAACTCTCCAAGAGGGAATCCTGGGGACTGGAGAAACGCAGAGCATTGCCTTCCACCAAAGAAGACGTGGGTGGGATCTAGCTATTCCCAGCTCTGATCCAGGCACCCCACCACCACCACCATTCCCACATCCCTGTCCATCCTGGAGGACAGGTCAGCCCAGGCCCTTACCTGAGCACCAGCTGGGGCCTCCCACAGCCCCTGGCAAACAGGGCCCAGGGTCTGCTGGGTGCTTCAGCCACATAGGGAGCCCCAGGAGCCCTGAGAAATGGGGGGGTTGCAACCCTGTGGACTTTCCCACAGATCCATCGCATTCCAGGGCGGCACAGCCATTCCAGTCCCCTTTGTCCCCTGGACAGTGTCTAAAGGAGGCTCAAGGAGCACCCCTGACCTGCATCCACCCCATCTCTGGAAAGTACCCCCACCTGAAGCTTCCTGGAAAGATGGAATCCGTGGTGGGTGGGGGGTCTGCACCTCCTTTCCCCACCCCCGGCAGAGCTGCTTGGGGGGCCCTGAAGCCCTCATAGGGGCTGGAGAGGGGCAGGCCAGTCCAGCGGGCTGTGGAGGAGAGGCCAAGCCCCAAAAGTCAGAAAGCCACAGCAGAGGGGGTGGGGAGGAGTGGTGACCTGGTTGGGGCCCCTGGTGGCCAGGCCTGACAGACAGTCCCGTCTGATCAGTGGTCCCACGTCCCAGCACCTGGGGCAGCCTGGGATCACCGCCCCCTCCACTGGCCCCTGTGGCTGCCCTAGGACTGGGGCCAGGCAGGGAGGGCAAGTGGCCAGTCCAGGCTAGGAAATGGACCCCTCCTGTGCCTACCCCCTGCCCCACCCTAGGTCTCTGTCCAGCTGAGGGTCTCCGTGCAGGGAGGGGCAGGGGCCTCTTCCAGCCAGGTGAGGGGTTGGGGGCTGGGTAGGGAGCCACTGCTGCCGGAAGTGCTTCTGGGAACAGAGGGTGGCCGCCTGGGCCCTTATCTGAGGCTGAACTGACACAATGGCTGTGATCTAGAGTGTGGGAAACGAGCTGTGGTTTTCCTGAACAGCTGGAGCTCAGCTCCTGTGGGTGTGGAGTTCCTGGCAAGGCAGGGTCTCTCCTAGGGGCCCCTCGGTGGCCCAGGTCAGCCCAGACTGTCAGGCTCTACACGCCAACCTTCCCCCCTACACACTCAGTTTCTGGGCCCTGGGCACTGTTCCCCCCCTCATTCCCTCCGCTCTAAACTTGGACCCTGGGTGGGACCCTCTGCCTGCCCACCTCCTGCCTCTGTCCTTGCTCCGCCCCAGGGCAGGGCTTGGGCCTGAGTCCCTTGGTGCCCCTTCCTGCCTGCCCACCCCAATTCGGCCCTACTGTGTGTGAGAGCGGGGTTCCTGCTGACAGTCTGGGCGTCTCTGGGAGAAGGGACGGTACGCTGGGATGGAGGGGGCACTTAGGGGGCATGTGGGACACTAAGAAGTTGGCTGGAAGGGGAGCTGAAAGGAAGCCGGCCCCAGGGACAGGGCTAAAGCATGTCCCTGATGGGTGGGGGCTGCAGGGAAGGGAGAGGGCTCCCCACCCCCTCCCAAAGTCCAGAGCTCACCCCTACTTCCCTGCCCTTCTGCTGGCCATGTGCCCATCACTCCTGCCCCCGACTCCCAATGCTGCCTTTGTCCACTTCCCAGTACCGCTCCTGTCCCTGGAGACTCACAGGGCCTGAGGGCGGCAGAGACAAACTCAGGTGGCCTGGGGTAGGGGGAGCTGGGGCACCTGGTAGGCAGGGCAGTGCGGGAAGTGGATGTGAGGAAGCTGGTCAGCTGAGGAAACAGCAGACAAGACTCGAAGGGGGCCCACATAGGTGCTGCCTGGAGAGGGGAGGAGCACACATAAGTCCCCCTCCCTACCCTGCCCCTACCCCGCCATGGAATCCCCCACTCATCCTGCGTCACTGCCACTGCCTGACGACATGCCACTGGGGCTGCCCACAAGGAGTTTCCACGCTGAGTCAGCCAGGTGGTGCAACGCCTGCCCAGACCTGGGCTCACACACATTATCGGCTGGTTTCTTGGGAAGGTCCCAGAGTCTGTGGGGGCCCTGACTCCCCATCCCCAGGCACAGAGCTGAGCTGGTGCCTGGGAAGGGTCCCAGGACAGCCATGAGCACCCTGAGAGAGCTGGATTCCAGTGAAGGGGGCGTGGCGGGGGTGGTGAGGGCTAGGTCTGCAGACAGGGCTAAGCTGTCCCCGGGGTCCATTGCATGATGTCCCTCTTTCCGGGACCCTCTTCCTCCAGTCTTCGTTGGCACTGTCCCTTCTGTCTCAGCCCCTGACCCTTGGGGTCAGGCCATCCCTGACTGCCACCCAGCCTTGTTGCCATGTCACAGGCCTAACATTCTTGGCAACCCTGATTGAGTGGCATTTTGTCTCTACTCATTCATTCTTCTGGTGTCTGCCTCCTCCAGCCATGGGGCCTAGGTCCCAGGTTCAGGACTGCAGTGTCCAGGGGAGGTAGGTAAGCAGTATTTCCTACTTGAGTCAAGTTCTGAGAACCATTGACACCTGTGCTTCCAGGACCAAAGGGCACTGTCCACTGTCTGCTGTTGCCAGGTGTCCCTTTGTGGCCCTTGGAGCTTGGGCTCATCACATTCGGTATCCCAGTGTCCTGCCCATTGGACTAGCATTGCCTCCTCCCTCGGTATTTCTCAGGAGCCTGTGTGCCGTGCTGGGGTTGGCAGGGCAGGGGTGGGGGAGTGAAAACGGGCAGGGAGAGGGGGGATCCTGTCCCCTTCACCTCTCTGTGAGCTGGGCCCATTGCAGGTGGTGAGCAGGTGAGTCGGGGGGCTCCTGGGGCAGAGTGCAGGGGTGGGGCCTCTGGGGGAGGCTGCATGTTTTGGGGGCTGATGTGCTGGGCGGGGGGCTAGTGCCCTGAGGATGCTCCTGCTGAGGCTGGTCTGTGCTGGTGTGGCATATGGGGCGGCCACAGCCACACCTGGGATAGCATGCCAAGCAAGGTCCTTATCAATCTTACTGGGTGCCAGCCAGTGCAGGGGAAGGGGGAGGGGGCCAGGAGCCACACCCCCAGGGAGACGGGAGGCAACAGGGCCAAACCAGGTCACTGTGAGGCCGTACCCCAGGTCAGTGAGTGCTGGGCAGAGAAACAGTCCTCATCCTGGGCATAGGGCCTGAGTGAGGCCAGCCCAGAAACCAGACCCTCCACGGGCATCCGGAGGGGTGGGGTCCCTGCCCAGGGACAAGACACAGGCCAGGAGGAGCTGTCCCTGGTTGTGCCTTCTCCAGGCAGATGGTCAGGGAGGGAGGCTTGGACAGGGCAGCCAGGTGGCACAACGAGGCATAAGTCCAGCACAGTACCAGCAAGCCTCCAGGCCTGGGTCCCCTGCCCAAGCTCTGTGCCAGGGCTAGAAGGTCCCCTGACTGTCCCCACCCCACACCCAGGCGGGAGTCCCCAGGGGAGGGCAGACCTTGTCTGCCCCCCATGGCACCATGTGGAAGGAACAGTGGGCACTGGTGGGGCGCCTGCCTCAGTTCCCTGATACCCCCTAGAAGCACACATCCATGCAGGTAACTCAAGAAGTGTTTATTGACCACCCACCTGGCCAGGCTAGGCACAAGATGCCCACTGTACAGCCCCTGGGCCCAGGTCGGCACTCTGGCCTTCCACACCACCCAGCAGGGCTGGCAAGGGCGGAACTGTGGCCAAAGCCACGTCTTTGTCTCCCACAAGGCCTGGCTACTGTCGTCGCCTCTTCCACATGGTCAAGACACATGTCACTGTCGCCATCCTACACCCACTTCCTCTGTTGAGGGGAGCAGGGCTGGGCCCAGAGCTGGAGTCAAAGCAAGACTGCTCCCACCACCCAGGCGAGGTCCTGGGAGGGTCTGCTTGGCGCTGCAGGTTCAGGGCTCCAACCGCTCACAAGGACAGCCAGGCCTCACACTGGCTGGTCCTCAAGCGGGACCTTCTCCTCCACCAGTCGCCCCCCCAGCTCTTCCTCAGGAAACTGGCAGCTGCAGGTGTCCTCGGCCATTGGCGCATCCAGGGGCAGCTGTGTCCCTGCAGAAGGCTGCCATCAGTGGGTGGCTGAGGTCCCCAGCTCCCCACCCAGGGCACAACTGACCTTGGTGCCACATGCATGCTCTTCTTAGCTTCCAGAAGTGCAAACCCAGCTGGGCAGTGGCCAGGATGAGGACACAGGTGGCCATGGTGAGTAGGGCCAGGATCAGTGGTTGGCATGGCACAGCAGGGGGCTCCAGGCTACACATGGCATTGTGAGTCCTGTTCCCAGGAAACACAGTGTGGAACCCGAGCCGGGAACAGCTGGACACACAGACAGAGGCACCATTAGGGTGGTGGCCAGGCAGCTCCCGCATGGGCTGCTATCCTCTGAGCTGTCTGGGGGTCACCAGGTCACTAGGTGGCCCTGGATGTGACTGCATTGGGAGGGACCAGAGTCAACATTCAGCCCTCAGCCTGGCCCCCCAGAGAGGGCCTGGACTCCCCGGGTCCCCCAGAGGCCCCCCAGAACTCACTCAGCACTCGGCTTGCAATGTCCATCATGGCCCTCAGAGAAGGTCCCAGGGGCACAGTCAACGCACTCAAAGCCAAAAGTGAATGTCCCTGGGGACAGAAAGACAGACGGGCTGCAATGGGTGCTGGGTGAATGAGGTAGGATTGGTCCCCCTGGGGTCGAGGTCCACGGCAGAATGACAGCCCCCCCCACCCCACGTCATCCATTCAACACAGATCTCTGAAGCCACAGGTCTGCAGATAGAATGGACACGAGTTCTGGGATAAAGCAGCGTGCTGCCCTCTAGGCACCTGTGAAGAGGTGGAGATGGGGGCACCCACAGGCTGTGAGTCTCCCAGATGGACATGGTGGGGAGAACAGTGTGGGGCAGGGGGAGGAGCCAGCAGGGTTCCAGCCTGGTCCAGCAGGCAAAGACCAGGAGGCCAGCAGCAGAGGTCCCAAAGGAAAGGGCTAAGGCTGGCGCCCTGCTGACCCCAGACTGAGCAGCCTCCTCTCCAGCCCATGCCATGGTCCAACCTCACAGCTCCTCACCTGCCCCAAGTCCTCATCCATTCATGCACCCTCCTGCTGCTGCCTCTCAGCAGGCTCCTCCCATCACAGGTAAACCACCCCCAAGAAGAGGTACAATGCTCCTTCAAGAGAAGGGGTCAACCTCCAGTGGGGTTCTCCAGGGGCAGGTCTGGCTGTCCCATGCTGGGTGGACAGGGAGGGTGCAGGTCCTGGGCCTGAGGGCCGATGGCCCATGGGACAGCCCTTGTAGGCCCTCACAGCCAGCCCAGAGGGGGCACTGGTACCCTTGCCCAGCCTTAGGGAGGACCACCTCTCCAAAGGAGCAGCCCTCCCATAGCTGCCCACCTACTGGGGCCCCCACTCCCCCACACCCACGCACATGCCTGCTCTTCTGCCCAAGGACACCCAGATGCTCTGGCAGCCTCTGTGGACCCACCTTGGGGCCGTGCTTCCTGGCCTGGTGGGCATGGATGGTGCTTGCAGCTGTCGCACCGCGGGTCTCCGCAGTGGAACTCAGGCTGGACACACGTGCAGTCCTGCTCAGGACAGACCTCCATGCCTGTGGCGGTTGGAGACAAGGCAGCTTCTCAGCACTTGCACGAGTTCTTCCTTAGCCCCACAAGCAGAGGGCATCCAGAAGGCCCAGGACCCTGAGCTGTGTTCAGCTGTCCTTCCTGTGTGACATCCCCCACCAACACTGCCCTGAAGCTGTTCCACTTGTGTCACCAGGGGCTGTCCCTGCTGGTTAGTCATCTGGAGGCTTCCTGAGGACCCTGGGCCTGGAGACCTACTCTCCTTCCTTCTCCACCCCTGGCACTGCAATCAGCTGCCGCGGGCCCTGGGTGCCTAGTGGACACCTGAAACTGCTGCCTTGCCCGCACCCCTGAATTGCTGCCCACCACACCAGCCACCAACCCAAGGAGACTTGGGGCCCTCAGAGTCTGCCTCCTGCCTCCAGGCCGGCAGGATAAAGCTCTAGGAGTACTCCCCTGCATCTGTGGCCTCTGGCACATCCAGCACCCCACCACCCACAGCTGCAGGCCAGAGGCGGGGGCGGGACAGAAGTGGGGTCAGGGCCAGGAGCTGGGACCCCAAACTGGGCAGGAGGTGACCTGGGTGAAGGCTGAGGTCTCACAGCGACCTCCAGGGTCCCTGCCAGGCTCCAGGCCCCAGGACCCCTCCTGCACCCTTGCCCCTGGGCCCACCCTGGATCCGGCACCCAACCACTCGCTACCTCCCAAGAGGGCCTTTGACCGCCACCTCCCGCCCTTCCCCCCCTCGCGGCCCGTGCTCGCAGCTGGGTGCGCCGCCGCCCATCACCCACCCTCCTTCGCGATGGGGCTTATCTGCGCATGGCTTACTTGGGGTGCAGGTGCGGCAGCAGCGCGCGTTGGACTCCGTCCCGCGCGAAAAGCGGCCGGGGCCGCAGCTCTGCTCCTCGGCGGGGCCCTGGCCCAGGCCCAGCGCGCAGAGCAGCACGACGCCGCACCACGCCGCCCGCGCGATCATCCCGCCCTACTGCCTGGGCTGGGCCCGCGCCTTTTGATGACCCCGGCCCGGCCCCCGGACAAGCCCCACCCCGGACACGCCCCCGACACTCCCCGCCCACGACAGTGGTCCCACCGCCTCTGCTTATGAGGCACCCGGGAGGGCCGGACACGCAGGGGTGCAGCGGCAGGGGACCGAGGAGACAGGAGACGTTGTTCCCCAGTAGGACCCTTCGAGGCCGGACGGTGCAGGGACGGAAAGGCAGTCGGGGCGGGCGGCTTCGGGGCACCGGATGCGGGTAGGAGCAGGTACCCTGAGTCGTCGCGGTGTGGGTAGTGCTCACGGCTGTAGTCCGCGGGGTCCACCAAGGCGCCCCGCAGCTCCCCACGTGCGTGCTTTCTTCTGAGGCAGTCCTGCCCCCTCGCTGAGCCCCCCTTGCTCCCGGTTGAGCCGCTGTTCCCTCTCTGACACGCCCCCTCAGCTCCAGCTTCCGATCTCCTAGTCCCCCAGAGGGGGTAGGATGAAGTCCCACATCCCACTGAGTCTCCAGACACCCCAGCCTCGACCCCACACCTGCCTGGGACTGTAGTCACGCCCACCAGTGTGCCTGCGGAGACTGGGCGGCCCCACCAGATGCAGCGAAGCCAGCCCAGCCGTGGGGCAGAGGAGCCCTGGGAAGACCACGCGGGTTGGGAAGAGACGCCCCTCCCTCTGGGGCACTTGGTGGGCGGGGCTGAGTAGGCTCCAGCCCCACGGAACCCCTTCCGCATTAGTTACAGACCTTCAGGGCACCTCTTGGCAGCTCCTACCCCCAAAGGGCAGCTCCTCTGAGCTGGGCTGGGGGAGGCCTGGGAGGAGCTGGTGAAAGGAGGTGCCTGAGTGTCGTTATCAGCTGCTTCCAGTGGAAGCACTTGAAGCTCCGAGGGAGAGGCCCTTCCAGATCTCAGGCTCGGATTACTGGAACAACTTCTAACCCACACCTCTCAAGTTTCATCACCCCCTCTCCAAGCCCGTCCACCTGGAGTGAGCCGAGGGTGAGCCCACAGAGGTCGAAGGCCACAGAGAGCTTGGCCTCCAAACCCTCCTCCCAGACCGTTCCCATGTGTCTGTGGGCCTCAGTTTCCCCCAGGTGCACTCCAGGGGTTCTGCCTCCTCCCTGAAGCCTCTCTGGATGGCTCCACCTGAGGGTTCTCCCCTCAACCTCCCCAGTCTCCTAACCCCCGGCACAGGGGAAGTTAATGGAAACTTCTGGGAAAGGGGGAGGGGGTGACTAGAAGCTTGGGGGGGGGCACAAACGTGACCATGGTGTTGCCCACAGGCTGGAGATGTGGTGAAGGCCATGACACAGGGATCCCAGGACGCCTGTTCAGAAGCCCCACAGCCACCACCTCCCCAAAGAGCTCATCCCCTTTTCTGTGGGGACAACAGGATCAGCAGTTTGGGTCTGAACTGTCGTTGTCAAGTCCAAGATGTGGGACCCCTTCTCAGAGAGGAAATCACTGCAGGATAGAGGGTTCTTCTTGGGCGGGCTGCCCCACAGGTGTGGCTCACGGTACTGGAATTCGCCCTCTTGAAGCAGATCCCTGGCAGCTGGAGACCCATACTCAGCCCCTAAAAGTTGGGAGATGACTCTAAGATGCCTGGACAGAAAGAAAGCCACATGATATGCAGATGCTGGAGTAGCACCTGGAAGCCAGCTAGGTGAAGATGTCCCAAGTAGAACAAAGAGAGCGTTCTGGCACTCCTGCCACTGCTCAGTATAGAAGACTTAAGAGTTCAGTCTAGGCCAGAAAGGGTCACCTCTAATTTTAGTGCATGCCTAATGCACTGGGCCCCAGAAGATATGACAAACCCTGCAAATGATGTTTATCAGACTGTCAGGTGTCAGTTGGTCCTCAGGAAGTGGAGACCGAGTTTGAGGTGACAGTGGTTTCAGGGGGTGCACAGAGTAGGGCAGGGGCAGCCTCAGCCTGCATTGCTGAGCTGACAAAGCCCCGGCCGGCCCCATGAGGGGCCACACAGCACTCAGGCGTCGAGACGCGGCCAGCTCAGCCCTAAGAAGAACGAGTTCCTTCCTGAGGTGGGGTAGGTGCCCTGTGTGACTGTACATGTAACAACATGGACATTATAAGGTGTAGGTCATGCGCACAGTGACCTGGCAGCTTGTGGACAAGGCCAAAGGCAATAGTCACATCAGCAAAATGTCAGTGCCCACATCTCCAGGGCCTCCTCCTGAAGGGCTCCCACTACTTCCTCTCTGCCAGGACACCGCCTGCTGCTAAGTGGGCTCCCGAGGCAGGGCTGTGTACCTGTGTTGTGTACCAATGTATATGTTCCCAAGTACCCTATTGTAAGAATGGCGTGGCATCAGAACTCATGGTCTAACTTCACAAGGGGGGAGGAGAATCATCAAGATCAGCATCAGCCCAAGGCTGATTCCTATGAAGTGACGATCAGACACACCTCCACTCTCCAACCCTTCTACCATTCTGACACCAGCTGTGCCTCCCACTACACTCTCTTACTTCTCTGCTGGGTTTGATAATTTGTTGCAATGGCCACACAGAACTCGCAGACTATACTCACAATTATGGGGTTTATTGAGGAAGTAACAGGTTACAATTCAGGATCAGCATCAACTTGGAAGTAACAGGAACAGCTTGATACAGTTCTTCCATCAGGACAGCTTATTTTCGGCTGCTGCTACCACCAGGCCTTCGCTCTCAGCCTGGGCCCTTGCTTTTTCCCTGGGCTTTGTCCTGCTCTGGCAAGTATTGGGAAGCTCTTTAGCTCCGCCGATAAGTGCCCAGAGGAACGCCACTCCACCAGAAAGCCTGCTGCCCGAAGGCCCTCAGCTCTCTTGCTCCATGGGTTGGCAAGCCCACTGTAGCTGCCTTGCTCCATGGGCTGGGAAGCCCACCATGCTGTCCGAGCCGACTTCAGTGTTACAGCTCTGTCTCTTGCGTTTAGGAGGTTCTCAGCACAGGAAACCTGGTGTCTTAGTCATCTAGTGCTGCTATAACAGAAACAACACAAGTGGATGGCTTTAGCAAAGAGAAATTTATTCTCTCAAAGTCTAGTAGGCTGTAAGTCCAAATTCGGGATGTCAGCCCCAGGGGAAGCCTTTCTCTGTCGGCTCTGGAGGAAGGTCTGTGTCATCAATCTTCCCTTAGTCTAGGAGTTTCTCTGAGCAGGAACCTCAGGTCCAAAGGACACGCTCTGCTCCCGGCACTGCTTTCTTGGTGGTATGAGGTTCCCATGTCTCTGCTCGCTTCTCTTTTATATCTCAAAAGAGATTGGCTTAAGACACTATCTAATCTTGTAGACTTCATCAATATAACCACCGCTATTCCATCCATTTTATTACATCATAGTGATAGCATTTACATAGGGAAATCCCATCAGATGATAAAATAGTAGACAATCATACAATACTGGGAATCATGACCTAGCCAAGTTGACAGATATTTTGGGGGGACACAATTCAACCCATGACACCGGGGTCCAAAGTATGCACTCCACTCCCGACTCTTCTTTTTGATGGTTGTCTTAGGCTGGGTTCTCTAGAGGAGTAAAACCAGTGAAGCATATATAAATATATAGAGAGAGATTTATCTCAAGGAAATGGCTCTCTCAGTTGTAGAGGCTGACAAGTTCTAAATCCATGGGTCAGGCATCAGGCTAGAGGCTTCCTCTGACTCACATGGTTGCAGGGGCTGATAAACTCATAATCAGCAGGTGAGGTGGAAGGCTGCTGTCTCACTAGGCTTCCAGAGCTCATGAATCCCAAGATCTGCAGATCGGAAGAAAGGCTGCTGGCTTATGTCCCAAAAACCGGAGGTCAGAGGATGTCAGATGCAGAATCCAGAGCAAGCTGGTGAGCTTTGCCAGAACATCCATATATACTGGATGCAGGCCACACCCCCAAGGAATCTCCCCTTACAACTTATTGGCTGATTACATCGGATTCGCTGATCACATCAGATCACATCATGGATGGGATTACATTATATTACATTATGGAAAAGCAATCAGTTCAATGGCTGCCAAACCACTGACAATTATAACCTAATCAAGTTGACACACAACATTAACCATCACATTCCACCCCTTGTTGACTTGGCAATGGTACACATCTCCTTAAACCATGCATATCTATAAAGACAATTATAAAGTCATATTTGCACCTAACATGATACAACTAACACACATACAACTGAAAATGCACTAGCCCTGTTTACATCTTATATTTTATAAGTAATGGGATAAGGAAGGGAAGAAAACAAAAATTATATATATATATATGTACTTATATATGTATGCATACTTACACATATAGTAGAACAAGGAAGAAATACTTGTAACAATTACAGTCCTCATTTCTGCAACTGGTCGCTTGGTAGTACCTGTTAGAAGAAGGTAGCACCTTCTTCCATCACCCATTCTGTATTCCCTTTTACCTCAGCAAGTACTTCAGCTGGTTGTGGTTCTGTGCCTGGTGGAGTGACCCAAACTTTCATTCCTGAAGGGTCTGGGCCATTAGTAGTCATGTTGGAATTGGGTTGCTGTAGTTTTCCATTGACTTTAATCACAGGGCATGGTAATACTCAGAGACATCCAAAGGCATCTCCTGTATTACACGTATACTCTTCTTTACCTCCATTATATACTATCAATCTGATTTCCCCTTGGTAATCAGCATCAATCTCACCAGCCAATAGGGTAACTCCCTTCCTTGCCTGTTGATTCAGAGGCATGAGGAGCCCACAGTGGCCAGATGACATCCTTAACTTTCAGTTCAATGGAATCCATGTGGTCTCCAAGTGGGAGCACTCCTCCCTTTGGAACTAAGACCTCTAGACCCACAGAGCATAGGGTCACAGGGACAGCAAGCAAAATTTATAGTAATAGTGAGTTGTGCCACTCTCATTTCCAGCCCTTGATTCCTGGACACATGAATCCTGGCTATGGGAGAAACAGCACCATATATAGGATGCTGGCGTGGAGCATATACAGCCTCCTGGAGAACATT